CCCCAAAACCCCAAAACCCCAAAACCCCAAAACCCCAAATAGTGTAGCAAGGATTGAAAAATGCTTCTTTAATTTTTATTCTTTGGTTTAACATTCGATTCTGGCCTTGCATTCGAAGCCGAATTTTGTGTATAATATTATCAATTTTAGGTAGAGTTAAGGTCTTCAGATACTGCTTGTGGCATTTAGAGATAAATTTTGACATTATGTATATTAACAAACACTATGTTTGACTGAGCGGGAAAAATTTAGTAACATGGATAAGTTAGAATTAACTTATTATTTCTAATATTAATTTTTGACGGAGTGTAATTGAACTTTAGGATCTTAAGAGGATCCTCCAGAAGCTGCAGGCTCTAAATTCAAAATGGAAGATGTATGAGGAATCTAACTATTTTCAGAATTTCCCAATTAGTAAAATAATAAAAATATGTCCCTGAAATTATTAATAAGTCATAATTTTTCCAATCGTGAATGAAGATAATAATTAAGCTAAACTCAGTATTAATAAAGATTATTAAATTTGTTATAGATGTTCATGCTTCAATTGAGATAGACCTCCCTCTTATCTTCTGGACACTTCTGCAAGAAACACTCGATCCCGTTCTCGATGAAGTATTTGTAAGTTTGAGCGATATCTTTGTTCTCATAAATTCTCTCAAGCTTCTTATGAGAATACTTAACAAGAACATCTTCAAATTCAGAAATAGACTGATTGCTATTATCAAAGAGAGATTTTGCTTTCGAAGTATTTTTACTCATTGCCATCCAACAAACAAACTCTCCGAAATGTTTGTTACTACTTCCTTCATCTGGCTGAATGAGATTAAGACTTTTGCCTTTTTTGATAATAGCCTCCTTAAACTTGGAATCTTTGCCTTTGAGTCTGCACGGCCTGATCCTTTGTTCTTGGAATAAATCAGATATAAACTTTTTGAATCCTCTAAGAATTCTTTTGTTAATAACATCCCTCCTCATTGAAAGTTCAGTTATGCCTATCGCTTTATCAGATTGGTCGAAGATGGAGTCAACCATTTTAGAATAATTTATTCTTGCTTTCTTCTCTTTGGGCTTAAGATCCTTCTTCAATGAAGGAGCTCTCTTCTCGTTTGAAGATTTTCTTACTATACTACTTTTTGAAATTCTTTTATGAATTCAATTTGAAGAATTTTTACAGCAAGGCTCATCCTTCCTTGCTATTTTGTTACAAAACCCTGATTTCTTTGCTTTATAGGATTTAGGAGTATTAAACTCTCAATCTTCAAACAGAGAAGTCTCTTCAGGAAGAATACTCTCAGAGCAGTCCTTAAAAAGTTCAGGAATTATGTCATTTTGAACATTATTCTTGTAATCGTGCCCATCAGAGCTTTGAGCTTCATCCAAGCCTTGGAAAAATAGAGAGCCTGTTCTAAAATCATCCATTGCTGATAATGGATCGAACATTTCAAATTGCCCTTTTGTTATCATTTATTTTTCTATTATTAGATACACATATGGGGTTTTGGGGTTTTGGGGTTTTGGGGTTTTGGGG